TAATGTGCTTCCTCTCTTTGTTCGTTCCAGTCATGGAAGACACTGGACTCTTTTACCTTCCTAAACGATATTACTTTTAATGTGGTGTGTTCTTTTTTGTTGTTATTTCTTTCGCACTCTCTCTGCCTGTCTCTTATTTATTTATTATTGTCCGTGTACACCATCTTTGCCCAAAATTTCTACTTGCCCACTAGTCGTCGTTCAGTGACACCATCCAGGCTTGCAGTGGCGTGTAACATTTAGGCCTTGCAAAAAGCGAAGGATATTACAATTTGAGCCCTGCTGTCTGTCTGTGTGGATAAAAATATATTGTCCGGTTCCTTCTTGGCCTCTGCTCACCCCACTTCCTCCCTTTTCTCATTTTCAGCCATGCAGCCTCTGAAAACGAATTCAAAAGGAGACGGTGAGATTTATTTATTTTTCCCTGTACTTCCTGTCCGTATAAGCTACTTCCTGTGATGCCCTAGTTAGGCATAAGATAACTGTGAAATGTTACAACAGTATAGTTTCACATGTTGTAGACGAGCAATAAATGGTTTGTTATTGTCGTGTGGTGTGTGGGATTTGTTTTTTCCCCAGACGTGCAAAAAAAACTGACAAAATGTAATGCCTCAGAGCTATTAAAATAATATTTCTCAATAAAATTTAATTACACGACATGAAAATGAAAAAAGGAAATGTAAATTTCCATCCACATTAAAATCGAGGTAATTAGTCATTGGAGTGTAGTAGATGCTCGTGTGTGTGTGTGTATATATATCTCAACTAAGGTATTTATTAATTACATTGCTGGTGTCGTAAATCAGTACTACTATTTATTATTCCCAAGAGATCTATCCTGACTCAAAAGATTAATACGTTTCCTACTCCTAGAGGAACTGCATAAAATGTATGAAAGATTCTATAGTCTTTATAAGAAGCATGAAGCTGGGCCACTTAGCATAGGGAGAGCAGAATAAAAGCACAGTATGATCCGGACATTGCGCACAGATCAGGCAAGTTAAAAGGTTACTATAATCCTATTAAGAGGGGGGACCTTTCTGGCGCAATATACCCTAATGGACACTGTGGGGAAAGTCCTCCCTCTCAATTTGTTGTAAAACCTGAGGGGCGGAAATTAGGTTTTATTTACCTCTGACATCACTGGGACCACTTGCCGTCCAATCAGTGATTGGACCAATTGCTCGCTTGGAGTGCATGGCGAGGGAGTACGTAGGAGGAATGTTATAAAAAACAAAACAAAAAAACACACACTGGCACATACAAACACACACAGAGACACATACCTTGACACACAGAGACACACAAACTGACACACACACACTGGCACATGTACACACACAATCCGACATATATCAGAGCCACCCTCCTGTTATGTTACTTTTTGTTTCCAGGACGGTGTCTTGCTTGTGGTCTTGGTGATGTTGGCTGAGGCTGATGCATGCAGCAGCTCACTCCAGCCTCTCTTCTGCCATGCATGCTGCTCCCTGTCTGTGCGGCCATCTCCAGCCTGTAGCCTCCTCCCTCCCTACCACGCTGCATCAACTCTTTGATGCTGGGAGGAAGTGATCTGCTGTCCGTTCCTCTCAGCTGGCCAATACTACAGGGACCCGGTCGTGCTCTTAAAAGTGTTGCGGCACCTGACCGGGCCCCTGTTAAGGGATACAATTACTTTGAACATTTTGGTTGGAGAAATCACGGCGGAATCTCATTTTTGTTCACGTGGAACCCCAGCGTTCTGCGGAACACCAACTGGGAAACGCTGGCATAGAACATTTTAGTTTAGGGAGAAAATACATTTGGACCCTCACACATTGCACTCACGCTTGGAAGTAAATTCAAGCCCATCAAGATATTCTTAGTTGTTCATCTGTGTGCTCCAGAGTCGGATTATGCATTAGGCAGCCGCCTAGGGCTCCAGGCTCAAACAGGTGCTCAGTGAGCTTTAGCATTGATTTTTGAGGGGCTCTCTTCCTGCAAGAGACAGAAGGAGGGCAAGAATTTTAGTTGTTGTGGTTTAATGTTATTTATTATATTTTGTTAATAAAAGAAGGAAAGGTATGCGCACTCAACCACCTTCCTCCCAAACTCTTACAACCATCAGTCCCATGCACACAACACTCAGCCACCACACACGTACAAAGAACACTCAGCCACTCTCCACACAGAACAGAAACTAGGGTTCCCAGCAGGGCTCCAGTTTGGCATTCTGCCTGTATGATCTTAATCTGGTTGTGGCATAATCCCACCTATAAGGAAAAATAAAGGTACCCCTATACTGGGCTCTATTTGGGGGCGATCCAGAACCTAATCTCTGGCACTGGTAGATTGTTTAAAGGAATAATCTAAATTAAAGTAATAATCAAGGTACAATAACCACTGTCCACTGTACCTGTTATTGTACCAGGAGTGACATGGCACTACACCACCAGAGCCTCTAAACCCATATTACAGTTCCTATCCCACCACGAACTGCAAATTAGTGTAGTTAGTGGGGAATATGTGTAGAGGGAAAAGTATAAGGCAAAAAAAAAAAAACCCTAGATAAACTAAAGTTTATTGCCCCCTCCTGGCTTCTTACCTTAGGCCAGGGAGGGGGAAATCCTGATCCCTGTGGGTCTGGTGGGAGATGCAGCATGTCTGCACCACTGGGGAAAAGTATGAGCGTTGCCTTGGTAACCTGCAGCAATGCTCTGATACTGTTGAAGGAGCAGAGAGCTTGGTCTGTAACTGCAGGAGGGTCAACCCAAGTTCTCCCTTCTACATTTGGCATCAGGACAGCCTGGCTGGCGAGAAAGATCTTTGATCTCCCCACCAGCTGTACAGCCCACTCTCTCTGTGCAGTGCCAGGCCGGGGAGATGTCCACCCTTTACTTGTCGGGGGAACTTGCCGTGACTGCATTGGTTATGGTTGTTGGAGTAACCCTTTGATAAAACCATTATTTCCCTTGTGTATTGAAACTGTATGATTGTGGTGATTTTCTGCGTGTATGTAAAATTTACAGCTCACTATATCTTGCTGGGTCTGAATTTGCTTCCTAGCTTGTGGGTGAAATATCTGGGGGTCCAGAGTTATTTTCTCCCAAGGCATACTGTGCCCTATGCACTTTGTTTTATTTTTTTGGAGATGGAAATGTACACCACTATCTTTCTAGTGTGTGTGTGTGTGTTGTTTTTTCCCCCCATGCAGATCTGTATGGTTTCTTGGTAACAGACTATTCTACCTTCTAGCCTTGTGGATTTAGCCAGGGTCAACAATCTTCTCCCCCTTACCACCTAAAGAGATGTTATATTAGATTAGATTATACATGTACAATAGGAGGGTTCATAATTCGCAAAAGGTGCTGTTAGAGGCAGTTTTAGTCTGGCATCCTAGAAAGTGTAATTGTGAGTATATAGAGCATTGGGGTGTAAAGGAGAGATGTGATACAGTAGTTGCATGTGTTTGTTGTATCTCTAGGTTCTCTTACATGTGAACTCCTCTGTTCTTCCAGATGATGGCACGTCGTTCTTAGAGTGAGACTATCCATCTTCATCATGCTATCATCATAGGTTGATGATGAAGGTTTTTATACGGATTTTGCAGAGGTTTCAGCAGCACACTGGCTCCATGCTGGGTTATCACAAGGGATCTCCAACAAGACTATCCATCCACTTGAAAAATGCAATGTGCAGATTCTGAATTATTTTAAATAAAGTAGGACATTTTATAGGTTAAACCTCCTGTTGCCAAGTGGGCTGGCTTATGGCTGCATAAGTACATTGCCGTATTCCACTGGCAGCAGTAAATTATATGAAATAGGTGGCCTTATTGTACTGCAATGGACTAATACTGGAGGATGGAAGGCAACCTATTATAATTCTCCGAAGTGCATTTCGAATAGACATGGTGGGCCTCTCTTCCTCCATTTTATTTCCCACAAGGCAAACATACTGGCTCAGGCCTAGTTCTGTGTGAAAGGAACAATCCATGTTTAGACCATTCCAGGAAGGCAGGAGGAATATATGAACCCTTAGATGACTACATGGCTTTTAAATGTGCCGTTGCTGATCAATAGAAACACTGTATTTTATCCAAAAGTTAGTGAACTGTGGATGTAAAGGCTTTTTCTTGATGAGAGAAGGCCCTAATACAAGTTGCTGTTTTTAATATATTTTATCTTGCAAATCCGCTGGTTCGGATTTTTTGTCTAAGGTCACGGAAGCATGAATCAGCTGCATCCCTGTCAGAAAAAAATAAAATCTTCAATATTGTGCCTTACCCAGGTTGCACATGCCTGTACAAATCAGATGTGGACAATCCCAACGTGTGTGGTTTTTGTAGATTTTAAATAAAAAATAAATAAAAAAATGTAAATTGTTGTACTGTATTTATATCGTTTTATTTAAATGTCACGTATAATAATATTTGAATGCCCGCAATAATCTCTGTTTCAATGCAATACATTTATTGGTTGCACTTAACCACGTAGAAATGTCATCTCTGTGTTTTGACAATCTATGAGTTCAGGTTCCGTGCTGCCTTAGTAACGCTTTTTAAACTTAACCCCGAAAGTATCAAAGGTGGTGAATGACAAAGACTGTGCCATTTAACAGGCAGCCATCTTTGACTGGAAGTGACATTGTATTGACCTTGTGTATTTGTGTATTAATTCTCCAACACTCTGTTACACCATAACTTGCTTGAATGTCCTTCCACCCCAGGCAATAAGGCTTTTAAAGCACAAGCCCCGTCTAGCCTATCTTTTAGGTGTTCCACAGACACACAATCTAGAATGACAAAGGGACACTGTGTAGAGGGGGCACAACTCTACACAGTGATATAAGGTTACTGTTTTGGCCCACTTGACTTCAGTTTCATATTATTTAAGCTGGCTATGCACTGGACTTGCTCTAATTAAAGAGATTTGTAGATGTAGAACATTTTGTGATCCTCAATCTTAAAATCATAATGATAACTGGATCACGTGCACTGCATGTCAATGAAGCTCATAGTACGTCGCAGACTCCCCACCGCCCTCTAGATGGCAGACTGCTCATTGGACTTTACTAATACTCAATGAAATGGCATGTAACTAGTAATTTAGAGCACTGATATTTTTTGGGAATAATTGCAATAATTTGAAATTAAAGAAACACGTTCAGACATTTAGCTGCAGTTTTCCAAGGTGAAAATTTTATTTTTGAAGCTTGTTTGTTCCATTTCTTCAATCGGCAAGGATTGGTGGGAAATTTCCATATAAATAGTGGAAGGAGCTCTGATTTTACTTGGCCAACTAGACGTTTGCTTAATCCACTAATTATGAAGTCACTGGCTTCTCGCATCCAAATGCTTTCAAGTGGTGTTCAAGCTGAGCTTATAAAAGTTTATCTTTAGTGCAAATATCTTTATAGAGCAGGGCTAGAGGCAACCTCTGGCACTCGAGACATTTCTGGATTACATCTCTTATAATGCTCTTACATCCATAATGCTGGCAAAGCATCATGGGAGATGTAGTCCTCAACATTTCGAGTGCTGATGGTTGCTTACCCCTGTTATAAAGAATATAACACATTCAATAGACAAGGAATTGTTGGGAATTACAAATTTTAGACCAAAAATAGATGAACTGCCTAAAACAGAACTGAAGAATTAATCTAATTTGGATGTATTGACCTGAACTTGCATTTTCCTATTCATTTTCGAGCTTAGTGACCAGCTCCTTATATTGTATGCAAGAACCTGGGGTCAAGACTAATCTTGGGGGTCAAGGTCAAGAAACTGATTGAAATTGTCCTTGAGCAGGGTTTATTTTTATGATCTAGGCAGTCAGTTTTTGAGGCAGCTTGATTTTTAAAAAATTTTTTTTTTTTATATAACCATTCATGAGGTTGTGTACTTTTAGAAGCACAGAACACGTTTCAGCGGTAATGTCACAGATAAGGACTGACTATTAATATTGCTACTGCCCACAGCATACTGCACTGTACACATCCACTGTTTGATGCAGAGGGCATTGAGGACAATGCTGACACTCGTGTTGTGCATTTCAATGATGGGGATTGCTTGCACAGCTCCTACATACTACTATTTGTCAATCTAAGGTTTGTTTTACCATTTACTCTTTATATCCAGGGCTGTGGAATTGGTTGACTGGCCCTAAATAAACCATAAATGATAAACTATTATTAATGTATCTTAGAATTATATGCAGAGTTAAAATATATAAATAAAATGTAGACTCACACACTACAGGACATTAATGAAAAAGACAGTTTGAGCCAAAGTCTTTCCTACATGAAGTGTTGAGAGAGCAATTAATATTTGGCAATCAATAGTGGTGCTCCAACACTGCGGTACTGGGTTTCTCATTCTTATGTTAGTTTGAGTTTCCGAGAGTGTTCTTTGGATGTTGGTGCTAGTGCCTGAGGGTGACACTGATCAGACTTAGCTGGGTTGAGGCCTTGTGTATAGAGAGGTAAAATGCATGGATATCTGTGTGTTGGGGGAGATAGAAGAGAGTGATAACTAGTGAAAAGAGAGAAAGGATTGGAGAACAGGGGATGGCTGGGAGAGGGGTTTATTTTCTTAATACCAGGCAGATGTGTCTCCAAGCAGCCATCTATTCTAGAAAGACATATCACAAGGATGTGCTGTACCAGGCTACTTAAGGGGAGGTGGTGGTGCCCTCCTGTTGAATAAAAGGTGCTGGGGAACAGAGTTTTGCCACTCATTCCTCTATTAGTTAGGAAGCATGGCGGGATCGCATTAAATACCTGGCTGTGCAGCATGTACTAGCTCCTGGCTATGCTTTCACTTAGATGCTGGAGAGCACCAGCCGCACTACTCTAATTGGTAGAAACTAGGGGACGTTCTGACATATCCTAATATCTCTTAGTGTAGGGGTTATCAAGTTTTCCTTTGGGTTCAAGCGTGTGTGTGTGTCGTGTTGTTTTGTTCTTCTCTTCCCAGATACTGGAGGTATGCATCCTGTTTGAAAAGACTGTAGATTTATCATGTAGGCCTAATGTCAAATTGCTTAATTCATACTATAAAACTCCACTTTTATAGGCTTATCCATATAGGGTAAGCCATAGAACATAATTTAGGTTTCATTCGGGTAGAGCTGATGGCTGTGCACCTACATTTATTAGAAGTTATGTTTGAAAAGAGTAACTTTTCATGTTTTGACTATTTTTCTATATTCACTAATGTATTCCCTTATTTGGCACAAAATATTTCTTACTGTATGTTTTATGTTTCTATTTTCCCTTTCCATTTTTTGGGGGTTCACAAATGTGCTGCTTCCAATGTGTAAAAAAGCAAGGAGTGTGAAAGTGCACCTTTACTTTTAGCTGAATTTTTCCACGACTGGTGGATTGGTGGGTTTATTGAGAGGGGTAAGCGGCTTTTATAATCTTCCTTAGTATTTAACAGATAAAAAAAAAAACTTGCTAAGTTTAATTGTTTGTCTTATTTTGTATATATGATAATGGTAAAATTCTCAGGGAACAAAAAAAAGAAAACAGAAAATCCAAAAAAGAATAAAAAAACGAGATAAAGATTGATTATTTGGAACACTGCAGCAAAGTTGAAAAAAGTCACCAATTTATAAAATGAGTAACAGTTTTATACATAAGAAAATAGCACTTGAGCATAAAATTGGTGCAAATGTAAAAAAGAATGCTGCAATTTTTTTATATGAGCACTATATATCACTGAGGGTTTTTCTGTAAAGCACTGCGAGGCACTTACATTACAAATCTACCCTATATCTGGCAAAGTTATTACGATTTTGGGTGCACGTCCACAGTTAATCCTCTAGTGCCTTCCTCTCTAAGATTTTAGATCAAATAGCTTTTATCATATTTAAAAAAAAAATAAAAAAATACTTTCTCCTTGAGATGTACTCCGACCCTCATGTCTTACCAGTGGGGCTTCAGTGAGGTGGGCGCCTGTCTACCGGTCAGAAGCGGCAAGGGAGCTGTATTCTCTCTGATCTTCTCCCTCTCGTTGCACGGGCTGTCTACTGATGCCAGGAGCCAGAATATGACTTCATATTCCGGCTCCCGGCATCAGCAAATGGCACGCGAGGGAGAAGATCAGAGAGAACACAGCTCCCTCGCCACGTCTAACCGTTAGACAGGTGCCCGCCAGGGGGGTCCATCAGGCCACCTCTTGGGGCCCCCCATGACAGTCAGAACACGGTGGTCATTTGGGGATGGCACTTTTTGCCATCCACTGAGTGCCTACAGGAGCTGCTGTGAAAAAGTTCCCACGCGTTCCTGCAGGACTCGAGCCCTGCCTACACTCCTCCTTAGACACATCCTCTCCGTCTACTGTTCAGAGCTGGTCCTTGGCTGTATTCATTTACACCCCTCATTTCCTTGCCTGTTAACATTTTAACAATGCTAGGACGTGTCAGAACTTCCTAACTATAGTGGGATTTAATACCATTAATGCGAAACACGCTCTTGGATATTCACTAAATAAACCATGATAGGGCACAGAGAAATAACCATTGGGAGCTTATTTAGTCATAAGAGGGCAGTTATTGGTTAGTGGCTGTCACGTGACACCAGAACGTGCATGCGCGAAGTTGGTGTCGTGACGCATATATGTACACGTCAATTATCAGACCAGGGAAGGCTGGGCCATGTAAGGGCTCTGATTTGCGGTGTCAAACCGAATAACAGAGGAGACCGCAGACACAGGGGTAGGAGGCGCAAGTGTTACAAGAGGCAGACGAATCAGCTGCGCCAAGATGTACCACACAAAAGAGCGCATGGCGGGTGCTGTGAGAGCAGGTGTCAATTGATCCCTTGGGCTTTCCTCTGTCAGCTGGGGCAACACTGACCGATGGGCTGTCTGCAGTCAGCGCTGCATAAAGGACTTTAACTTCATTCCACGGAGATTGTGCTCAGCTACAGTGTGTCTGGGCTTCTGTCCTCTGAATAGAACGCCTGTCCACAATCTGATTGTAGCTGGGATTTGCCTGTCATTCAGCACCAATTACAGCTTAATTGGCTGTGAAGCAGATGTAATTATGAATACAGTCAATAAATGGCGGTCACCCCATCTTTTTATAAAACCATTGATATTTGTAGAGGGTTTCTTAAAGGTTCGGGGTGGGATTAGGGAACAGGTAGGGTTAGAATTAGGGGTAAGGTAGGGTTAACTGAAGGATTAGTGTTAGGGAAAGATAAGGGTTAATGCTAGGATTAATGTTGTTTTAGGGTAAGTGATAGTGTAGAGTTCAGGGTAGGTATACAGTTAGCTTTAGTGTAAGCATAGGGTTAGGGTTGGTGTAGAGTTAGGTGGGGTGTTGATAAAGGTTTAACATTAGCGACCAAAAATGTATTTAGATCCTAGACGTCATGAGGCATATAGCTATCAATAGTGTATTATAGTGTATTATGAACATCACCTTCTAACAACAAGTGAAAGTTAAAAAACTATAAAATGACTTAGCTTCACATTAAACATCCAGCCTTCCAATGTTACCTCCAGAATATATATATATACACACAAAAATATGGAATACAGCTGTATCCATTTTTTGTGTATGTGTACATATTAACTATGAATCTATTTTGAGTATGTTTTCTTTAGCAGTACTGGATGTGCAAAAAATTATCATGAAAAAAAATGTTTTTTTTTTCATCTTTTCCCCATTTTTAACATTTTATTCACATTTAATGTTGTCTAAGGTATACAAATAGGATATTAAATGAAATGCACTTCTGACCTGTAAAAAACAAGACATAATAAGTATGGGGGCACTTAAAGAGTGACGCTTAAATTACTGTGGAACAAACAAAGCGCAGATTCTAGGATTTGTTTTGTATCAGTTCTTGGACCCCCCGCACCAATCTAGATGTCTACATTCCTCTGGAACTACCCAGACTTCATCAAAACAACCCCACAGATGTTTTACCCCTCAATTCATCTCCCATGCGTGCTGGTCCTCTTGCAGTCTGGGTACAGGAACTTGGATTGTGCTTTTCCAACTTGCACACATGTCTACAGGGTGTCCTGGATTGTACATGACGTAGAATTATGACATCATATAATCATATAAAATATCAGTATATCATGATGTTATAAACCTGCACCGTGTACTTTACAGGTGAAAGCACACTAAATAAGGAGTAGTTCGACCCAGGCGAAAGCAGGAAGGGGGATGCTGTCAGGGAGCACCCACGGCTAGTGTGTTGTGAATAATGGCTACTAGTCAGAAAATATGATTTTTGATGTTTTCCATCAGTAACTGAAGGCTGGCCTATATGGTAAGGCTTATGTGCCAGAAAGCCTTCCTGAGTTTTAAAGAGACTTCGAACAAGTTGTACCTAAAGTAAAATACTCAATAAGTGAAAAAGAATATGAAACTACAAGAAAAAACAAACAACTATAGTAACAAGAGTAATAGCTGCTGTATTGGTAGATCGATATTGGAAAATGTGGAGCACTTTTAACATTTAGCCCAGGGTCGAATAGTTTCTTCATTGAATCCTGGACAGTCAAACGGTTTGCCCCAGATATGGCTATCTATGGACTATCATCTTGCAGCTGCTATTAATTATTAACATTATGCTCACATAGACTTGGTGTTTTAGATGAACTGTGACCTTTCATCACTTCACAATATTGTTGCATTTTGTACCAGACTTTTCTTTTTAAAATTCCAGACAAACCAACCCTCATGAGTTGGTCGGAACCGAAGTATGTCAAGAGTTGTCCAGTAGGAAGACTTGAGCCTAAGGGATAAAACCTGCTCACTGTGTTCCTTTCAATGCGTTGGTGCATGACTGGATCATACGGTGTCATACAAACAATGCTCGGAATTTTTAATGCTCAATCAGCAATAAATGTATCAGATCTTTTTGTACAGGATCACAGTACAGTGGCTTTATTCCTGAAATCTTCACCTTTGATAGCTGTATGGGTGGATGTGTGAGATCTGTGACATATGACCATACTTAGAATACATTGTTGCTTTTGTTCTCTTTAATAATATAGATGTGAGGTGAAGATTTTGCTTGCGCAGGGTAAAGAAAAATTGTGAGGTCACAGCAGGGGTTGTGAGGTCATAATATGGGGTATGAGGGTCCACGCTCTGCTGCCCCTTACCCCCATAGTTCATAAGAAAGATTAAAAAGTGCACCATATATTGCCCATATTATATAATAAGTTAGAGTGAATGTAATTCACACTGCATTAATTAATTACTTGCTCTACTATTATGGTCTCTCGGTTCTGTTTCACACGCTCATTCAATCTATTCATTCAAACTAACAACACAAATGGATTTCTATTATTTTTTGTTGTTGTTGTTGCTACCTTGACTTATTGTCATTTTGCTCAACTGACACTCCTTCTACTCCCACCATCTCATACATTTTTGCCGTGTTTTCAATCTATGCCCATGATATACTCTCTTTTTACTCAGTGCTTATCTTTTCCTTTTTTTGGCACATATGGTAGCACAGTCTGGGTGCTTTTGTCGCACACAGTTTGGGTACTGCAGTTCCTTGTCCCTTTACGGACTCCAGTTAGTCCTCCTTGCTTGTTCTTCAAAACTGCACTAGGGGCTGCAGGTCTTGGAGCATCACGTAGAGTGTCCTGGCCAAATGGAGGATCTTCACTGTCATCACAGCACAGGGCATGGTACAGGACTTTGTCACTGAATCTCACCCTGTCCCTTGATCCAGGGTTCCTTGTTGGTGGGGGTTTCTCTGGGGGAATAGGGGTTTCTTCACTGGAGGAATCTGGTCCATTGGGGGTGGCACCCCCATTGAGCAACCTGAAGTCTGAAGGGCGGTCTGAGCCATCTCCAGAGTCGGATGGGGTGGAGGCTTCAAGGAAGGAACAGAATTCCCAACTATCGGAACTGAGGAAGTCCAGGGGTCCCAGGTCACAGAGAGGACCCCCCTTCTCACTGCTAGATGTGCTGCTAACAGTTCCAGGGGTCCAGTCATCTGCATCCAACTCAAACTCAAAGTCCGAAGTGAGTCTGTCTATCTGCTCCACCACCTGCAACATATACATACATATCAGAAATTGCATTGAACAAAGGATAATCATAAACCACAAGATGCCATGATATCGGTGTTCTTGTAATTTGGGTCTTATCTACAACACTGTATGGTAACTCTCTGGTCCTGCCCTCTTCATTGTAATTATACTGTTTCATGCATTGAATTACAACGAGGAGGGCAGGAGGAGAGGGGAAGGTGCTGTTAGTTTTTTGTCACAGGAGAGGCAGGAAGTCCCGCAAAGTCAGAGTGATTGTAGCTCTGTTTGCCCAAATATCAGCCACAATTTCATGAAGGGTAAAACAACAACATTGCAGACAACAGGTTTATGTACACAGACCCCCCAAGGGGTCTACAGTAGAGGTGTAGGTAATCCCACCTAGGTGCCTCTGTGTTTGGGAGAGGATTGCAATATACACTGCTACTTTAATTCTCTCTCAGACACATAGGCGTATAACACATATATTCACAAAACACAACTTTATACATGAAAACTTTCCACACTTATTGTATCCTCAGATATCTGATACCCGAGCGCCAAATGTGTGTTTTTTTTAAGCCCAAGATGCATTTTTGCATTTTGCACTTATCCACATTAAATGTAAGTTACCACATCTCTGATAATTTTTCTAATTTACCTAAATCATTTGCCATTTGACTTATTCCTTCTGGAACATCAACCCTGTTGCAAATCTTTGTAATAGCGCTGGATCTTGGCAGTCGGCATGCCGATGGTGCCGAGTGACTCGCTGTCATGGCGCTTTTTCTGGGGAGTACCTCCTGGGTTGCGGGGAAGTCATATTGAGTGATTATGGTTCCTTTTAGTGTTGGTTCTTCACAATGAGGTATACAATACTCAATGTATTGTCTTAATTTATCCGCGACTAATATTTCATATTTATATTTCATATTATAAAGCTTACATTTTGTATTTAGACTTTTTTATATGATAATTCATCAGCTTCAAGTGTAAATATTTGAGGATTTATTAACAAACGCTTACCGTAAGAATTTTAAGAAGCATTCTAGGCTGGCATTAACTCTCTGTTTTAATGTATTATGGAGATAATGCAAAATAGACACAAAAGTGAGTACACCCCCAACATTTTTGTAAATATTTTATTATATCTTTTCATGTGACAACACTGAATAAATGACACTCTGCTACAATGTAAAGTAGTAAGTGTACAGCCTGTATAACAGTGTAAATTTGCTGTCCCCTCAAAATAACTCAACACACAGCCATTAATGTCTAAACTGTTGTCAACAAAAGTAAATACACATCTAAGTGGAGATGCCCAAATTGGTCTCAATCAGCCATTTTCCCTCCCCGGTGTCATGTGACTTGTTAGTGTTACAAGGTCTCAGGTGTGAATGGGGAGCAGGTTTGTTAAATTTGGTGTTATCGCTCTCACACTCTCTCAAGGCCCCCCTCCTTCCCGCCCTTTGTTGTTGATTGTTATCTTATTGCGTATAACTAATTTTCTTTCTTGTCACAGCCGGCGGGTATGGTCCTTGACGAACCAGTTGGGAAACGGAGTACACTGGAAGAAGGAATGCTGGGTCTGGTCCCTCCCCTAACCTCGGAAAATGTTTTGGTAATTGGGCGTGCCCTCCGTGCCAGGAAAGGCGGCCAGGGGTTGGCATGGGGAATTGGAAGGCCAAGGTGAAGGCCAGTTATCTTGAACGAGGGGGGAGGGCAGGTCCCCTGGAAGGGGGTACTCTAGAGTTGTTATGGTCTGGTTGGCAAGGACGAGTTTGAGTTACATCATGCTTATATTAAAGGATAGTTAAAATTGGTTTATATATTTATGCTTGTTATTTATAAATAAAGCTGTGACCTGTTTATACCACATTTACGTTTCTTGGTCTTAATTGGTGGAGGAGGGGGGAGCGGGTTTGTGGGTATAATTGGTCGCACCACACAATAACCACTACCTTCACACATGCTGGTCACTGGAAGTTCAACATGGCACCTCATGGCAAAGAACTCTTTGAGGATCTAAAAAAAAGTTGCTGTACATAAAGATTGCCTAGGCTATAAGAAGATTGCTAAGACCATGAAACTGAGCTGCAGCACGGTGGGCAAGACCATACAGTGATTTCACAGGACAGGTTCCACACAGAACAGGCCTCGCCATGGTCGAACAAAGAAGTTGAGTGCACATGCTCAGCGTCATATCCAAAGGTTGTCTTTGAAAAATAGGCATATGAGTGCTGCCAGCATTGCTTCAGAGGTTGAAGGGGTGGGGGGCCAGCCTTCAGTGCTCAGACCAAACGCTGCACACTGCATCAAATTGGTCTGCATAGCTGTCATCCCACAAGAAAGCCCGCAAACAGTTTGCTGAAGACAAGCAGACTAAGGACGTGGATTACTGGAACCATGTCCTGTGGTCCGATGAGACCAAGATAAACGTATTTGGTTCAGATGATGTCAAGTATGTGTGGTGGCAACCAGGTGAGGAGTACAAAGACAAGTGTGTCTTGCCTACAGTCAAGCATGGTGGTGGGAGTGTCATGGTCTGGGCCTGCATGAGTGCTGCCGACACTGGGGAGCTACAGTTCATTGAGGGAACCTTGAATGCAAACATGTACTGTGACATACTGAAGCACAGCATGATCCCCTCCCTTCGGAGACTGGGCCGCAGGGCAATATTCCAACATGATAACAATCCCAGACACACCTCCAAGACGACCACTGCCTAGCTAAAGAAGTTGAAGGTAAAGGTGATTGATTGGCCAAGCATGTCTCCAGACCTAAACCCTATTGAGCATTGTGGGGCATCCTCAAACAGAAGGTGTGGGAGCGCAAGATCTCTAACATCCACCAGCTCCGTGATGTCATACTAGAAGAGGACTCCAGTGGCAACCTGTGAAGCTCTGGTGAACTCCATGCCTATGAGGGTTAAGGCAGTGCTGGAAAATAATGGTGGCCACACAAAATATTGACACTATGGGCCCAATTTGGACATTTCCACTTAGGGGTGTACTCACTTTTGTCACCAACGGTTTAGACATTAATGGCTGTGTGTTGAGTTATTTTGAGGGGAAAGCAAATTTACACTGTTATACAGGCTGTACACTTACTATTTTACATTGTAGCAGAGTGTCATTTCTTCAGTGTTGTCACCTGAAAAGATATAATAAAATATTTACAAAAATATGAGGTGTGTACTCACTTTTGTGAGCTACTGTATATGTAAAGATATTTATTATGATTAGAAAGTTACGTTTAAACCTGTAAAAGGCATTGAGTATTTGTGTGGCGGCACAAAACGCCTACAGTTATTTTATTCAGATGGGGAAGTATAGTTCAGTATTTGGCAACAGTAAATGTGAATTTTATTGCAGGCAATTCATGCTTTTATAATTGGTAGTCTACACAAACTGTGAATTAGTTTCCTTCACAGAAACCTATGAACAACACAGTTAGACAAGACAGGAATTGTCTGCCCCCTACTTTGCAAGTACTTGGATATACAGGGGGATGATAAGAAATCTTCAGTGATGTCTTTCAGTGAGGATATTTATGGGACAGGGGCCCTATTTAAGCATAATTACTATATAACTCATGCAAAGAATAGTGGCATTTATGGTACTTGTACAGTGAGGGGAAAAAGTATTTGATCCCCTGCTTATTTTGAACATTTGCCCACTGACAAAGAAATGATCAGTCTATCATTTTAATGCTAGGTGTATTTTAACAGTGAGAGACAGAATAACCCTCCCCCCCCCAAAAAAAAACAAAACAGAAAAACGCATGTAAAAAGAGTTATAAATTTATTTGCATGTCAATGAGTGATATAAGTATTTGACCCTTTCAACTTAGTTCTTGGTGGCAAAACCCTTGTTGGCAATCACAGAGGTCAGACGTTTCTTGTAGTTGGCCACCAGGTTTGCACACATCTCAGGAGGGATTTTGTCCCACTAAGCTTTGCAGATCCTCTCCAAGCCATTAAGATTTCAAAGCTGACGTTTGGCAACTCGAACTTTCTGCTCCCCACAGATTTTCTCTGTGATTAAGGTCTGGAGACTGGCTAGGCCACTCCAGGACCTTAATGTGCTTCTTCTTGAGCCACTCCTTTGTTGCCTTGGCTGTGTGTTTTGGGTCATTGTCATGCTGGAATACCCATCCACAACCTATTTTCAATGCCCTGGCAGAGGGAAGGAGGTTCTCACCCAAGATTTGATGGTACATGGCCCCGTCTATCGTCCCTTTGATGTGGTGCAGTTGTCCACCCCCAAAGCATAATGTTTCCACCTCCATGTTTGATGGTGGGGATGGTGCTCTGTTATAGGAAGCATTATTCGTCCTCCTCCAAACATGGCGAGTTGAGTTGATGCCAAAAAGCTCAATTTTGGTCTCATCTGACCACAACACGTTCACCCAGTTCTCCTCTGAATCATTCAGATGTTCATTGGCAAACTTCAGATGGGCCTGTCTTGAGCAGGGGGGACCTTGCGGGCGCTGCAGGATTTCAGTCCTTCACGGCGTAGTGTGTTACCAATTGTTTTCTTGGCAACTATGGTCCCAGCTGCCTTGAGATAATTAACAAGATCCTCCCATGTAAATCTGGGCTGATTCCTCACTGATGTCATGATCATTGAAACTTCACGAGGTGAGTTCTTGCATGGAGCACCAGACCGAGGGAGACTGACAGTTATTTTGTGTTTCTTCCATTTGCGAATATTCGCACCAAATGTTGTCACCTTCTCACCAAGCTGCTTGGCGATGGTCTTGTAGCTCATTTCAGCTTTGTGTAGGTCTACAATCTTGTCCCTGATATCCTTCCACAGCTCTTTGGTCTTGGCCATGGTGGAGAGTTTGGAATCTGATTGATGGATTGCTTCTGTGGACAGGTGTCTTTTATACGGGTAACGAGATGAGATTAGGAGCACTCCTTTTAGGAGAGTACTTCTAATCTCAGCTTGTTACCTGTATAAAAGACACCTGGGAGCCAGAAATCTTGCTGATTGATAGGGTATCAAATACTTATTTCACTCATTGACATTCAAATTAACTTATAACTTTTTGACATGCGTTTTTCTGGAATTTTTTTCCGGTTATTCTGCCTCTCACTGTTAAAATACACCTACCATTAGAATTATAGACTGATCATTTCTTTGTCAGTGGACAAATGTTCGAAATCAGCAGGGGATCAAATACTTTTCCACCTCACTGTAGCATCAATGCCCTCCTTGGCAAACAGATACATTATCTGCTAATATCAAAATATTAATAATTATTTTTCAATTAAAGTTTATTAATCTTCTACGTAATATAACAAGATAAGAAAAATCAAGCATGTACATAGCTAGGAATACATCCAACGTATATACGAACGAGAGAAATGCAATGCTCATTGCTGAGTTTGGCTTATCTTTGAACCCCAGGCTGTAAACAAAAATCAGTCAACAATGTTAGAGAATTTTCTTGTATCATAGAACAAAAGAACTATAAAAGAAACAGGGAGAGGGCAGAAAAGGGCCGAGGAAAAGTACGAGTAAAGAATTTGTGTGTGTAGCCGGTTAAAGAGAATGTACCATTGAAGGTAACAGTGCTGCCTATTTATTAATACTCATATACGTTCAGTACTATAAACTAGGTCAGGTAGAAGGTAGTGTATCCTTGAGAAACATTTTCAGTTTGTCCTCTTTTTCCGTAGAAATGTGAAGAATAATGTAATGTGTAAGACATTTATTCTCATTAATGATTAATTATGGCTGTTATTCCCAAGAGTTTAGGCAACTCTGTGGAGTTGTTGGGTAAACTATATTAATGCTTTACAGCCAGGAAGATGTGACAGCTACGTTTCTGCTTCTTCCTCAGGATATCATCGGGGAATATTTGTAGTAATGTAGTTCCTGCATCCTGTGATTCTGGAGTTAAAGTTAGACAATTGACTAAGGTAAAGGCCTCTCCCCAGACTGGAATAATTAGTGAACACAAACACCAGGTATGAATGAATGAGCCCTTCTGAATGCACCTATATATTTTTAAGAGAGGTATTTGAGTTAGTCTGGATGGAATTAGGTGCACGCCAGAGAATGATCAGATGAGGTTCTATTTCGGATCTAAGATTACTTTGCCTATGTCTTTCTCCAATCTTTGTTTATGAGGGGATAGGAATGAGAGCCAAGATTGTAAAAAAATTTACAAGTATGTGTAAAAGTCACGGTGGAGGACTTTAAAAACTTTGAAAATATCCTGAAAGGTTTGCAACTGTGCATTATATAGAATGTCTCCTAAATTAGTTGTACTCGCCCTTCTCCAGTTCAGAAGAGAAAAACACAGCACACGTTTTTTTCAAATAGCCCAAAGGAGTTGTATCATCTAATTTAGCTAAGTCTGGGAACCTTTGTACATTTTTGTCTCACATGAAAAGGGAATACAGATTTTCAGTAATAAACCCATTAAGGACAGACAGTGGGGTTTGAGCAGTTTCAATTTATAGCTAATTCTAAGCCAACCCACTTCATCATAACATACTATGCACCAGTGTGGATTCCCAAGGGACAGGACCAGAATAAGAGCCCATTGGACCTGGCGCTGACAGTTATGATGGGCCTATTTACAAAATCTTATCGACAGAAAACACTAAACCAGTTACACCTCCCAAGCGTCATGTACCTGGTGGAGGTGGTGCTGAAGGGAAACTCACAGGATATAGCTATAAGAAAACACAAACCCGATGCTAGACTCTCGCTTTTATCTTTCAAGTATATCCATACCCCCTAACAGCAGGTCCGGTGAAGCAGAATGTTGGTGGGTGAGGTAAAAGGGTGAGCCACTGATGTGAATCACGTAACCAGAACCTCCAAAGGGGTGAACATACCCAAAAAGGGGGCGTGTCTGCCCAAGGAATTCGAAGATTGGTCTGGTGTAAATGTATGACAGGCTGCTTGCCAATCATACCATGCAGACTGCACCTTGAGCTTGGCATACATGCATCTAATGATGTGCTCGCTGGCTACGACTGTCCCCTAGCACTCACTGGTCCACTCATTTCCTTACCTTCTTACTAGCAGGCTGAAGCTCCTGTTATACAGTCTGGGACAGAGGAAAGGTGTACGTAGTGAGTGTAGAAGAAAGGGAACATGCTACGGTGTTAGAGAGACTGAAGCAGCAAGAGCATTTGCATAGTGCACAAAGTCAGCTTTATCCTAACTAATTTCATTGTCAGCCAGTCCACACAAGTTTTGTTCCCATACATCCCTCTTAGGTTTCCATACTTAAGTAAGAGTATGTGAAGAGTAGTAAAAAAAATAAAAAAAATATGTTGTTTTTTTTAAAAAGGGGCCTATTCCATGGGCATGGACCTGAAGCTGCAGCTCCATCGGCCCCATGTTAATCAGGCCCTGCTAAGGGAGCATCACACGCAAGGGTGACGCAATCCACCTCCTGGGGCTGGATTAATTCATACAAATTTCAGAGCTGTTTTTTTTAAGAGCACAACATGGTCCTCCCTCCACTGATTTAGGTATTGCTATGGTAATCTCTCTCTCTCTGTAAATGGATAGTCACTTACATATTAATCATTTTAACCTGTAAACACCCCTATGGTTGATTGATTATATTGAACTATGAAATCTATAATGTGGGAAAGTATCAGTTTCTCTCCAAATTTGACACATGTTCCACACATCCCTCCATCACGTATATAAAAGGCATAGAGAACTGATGGTGATACATACCCTCGTGTGACCATGTTTCCTTTTGTATATTAAAATACGTGCATAGGGTGGAGAGGGAGGGGTTAACTGTTGCATCTGTTTCTGTTCCCAAAAAAATACGAGGACAATCATTTCCATGGAAACCAACCATCTGTGCAAGGCTGAGTCTTTAAAATACTTCACATGAGCTTTGCCATGTCTGCCAGCAAACCCAAACAAACCCCCCAGGCAAGAAGAGAACTGCGCGCCCCGTGCTCATCGCGGCACAATGCTCTTTCTATCATTTTATTACCGTGAGACTTGTGACTAAGTTACATCAATATGTTACTGCGGAACAGCCTGGATTTATTAAATATCATGCAAATAATATAGCTCTCAGGGTTTTCCCCTAAAATTAGAATTTAAAGTGAATTCAAAGTGAATCGCACATTTAAGGCCAGAGTAGTTGCATGGAAAGCATAGTTGACTTAGAGAATTTTTCCGGTTTGGCTATTTTGACCTAGAATTTCAAATTCACTTTGCTTTCACCATAAATACTCACTTTAGTGGATAACCCTGCATGTGTAAATAATGTAATTGAGGGTTGCAGGGAGATCTGTCTGTGTCACTGCCAACCGAAAGGATTAAAGGGACACTATAGTCACCAAAACAAGTTTAGTTTAATGAAGCAGTTTGGGTGTATTGATCATGCCTCTGAAGTTTCACTGCTTAATTCACTGTAATTTAGGAGTTAAATCACTTTTGTTTCTGTCCATGCAACCCTAGCTACACCTCACCTGGCTGTGACTGACACAGCTTGCATTGAAAAAAAATGGTTTCCCATTCAATCAGATGTTACTTACTTTAAAAGTGTTTATCTCTTGCTCTGTAATTTGAGATTTAATGACATGCAAGAGTCTTCTGCAGAGTATAACAAGCTATTAACAGAGCAGGAGATAAGAAATTAAAGACAAAATTCTGAATGAAACAGAATAAAGGAAGCTTAAACATTAGATGACTCTTTACAGGAAGTGTTTATGAAGGCTGTGTAAGTCACAAGCAGGGAAGCATGACTAGGGCTGCATAAACAAAGTGATTTAACTCCTAAATTGCAGAGAATTGAGCAGTGAGACTGCACGGGCATGATCTATACACCAAAACTGCTTTATTAAGCTAAAGTTGTTTTGGTGACTATAGTGTCTCTGTAATGATGATTTGGCACTGGCACCAGTGCACCAGAAGGTAATGAAGAAGTGAAATGTCTCTGAAGTACAATTTAAACAACGAATCAATCATCATAACATCATTTTACTGGATAGATTTTTTAACTAACATGTAATGGGAAGGGGGTTCGTTAACTGAGTCTAACCAAAATAACCTCTTCATAATATAGTCCCCAGTATCAAAATAAAAATACATTACCCTACCTCTATAATATTTTTCCGGTTCAATATAATGATTAGGTACTGAGTGGGCGATTTATGTATCCTATATAATATATAAACCTCTAAAATATATTAAATTAATTTTTACATTATGGGAGATTGGCAACCAAAGTTATTTAAATCTTTAAATTGAAAACGTCTAACTACTGGCACAGGTTCCTGAAATGTATATTACAATTCAGTACTTATCAAAACACCCGGGGACTTCTAGTGGATTTGCTCAATTTGTTTTTCCTATGGGATCTTAGAGCACCAGTGAGATTACTAAATTAGTATTTGCCTCATGAATTCTGTATCCTGACAATACACTACACTGCATGTCAGGCCTTGCTTAGATGAACTATGAATCCTAAGATTCAATCAAAAATACTGATTTTACTTCACAAAGTTTCTTACAACTGTGGTCTAGAGTATCATTTAAAGAAAGAGAGGGACACGTTGAGGTATAGCAGAAAATGCTGAGACTCTTTGTGCTCTGCTTACTGATTTAAAATTCATAGTGTTTGATAGTCCATTTGGGATATTCTGCCCCACAATACCCCTGGTTAATATATATTAAAATAAATATTTATCGGACACATACTTCAACACAATCACTGGAAATTAGAAATATAACCCAGTGAGCTCTCGATAAAACCTCAACTATTCACTACCAATGTTTATAATCCCCAATTTACTATACTATATATTTACTATATTTTATCTCTTGGATGCCAGATAGTCATTTTAATGGAGGCTTCCCCACCAATGGCTCGTGGATTGGCTTGGAGGCCAGCCTGCTCCTCTGCCCTATCCTTTTCTTCTTTAGGAGTGTCCGCCTATTTAAACCCACTCCTTTAAGAATCATCTATCGTCCCCCCTCCCCCCGTTATCCTAGACTTTTCATTGAGCACTTTTCTTCCTGGCTTCCCCACTTCCTTTCATCTAGCACTCCTTTCCTTATACTTGGGGATTTCAATATCCCAATCAATAACCCCAATTGCACTGATGCCTCTCGTCTGCTCTCTGTAACCTCCTCCTTTGGCCTCACGCAATGGTCCAATTTAGCAACCCATACAGCAGGAAACACTCTTGATCTTGCCTTCACCAACCTCTGTACTGCCTCTAATCTCTCCAATATTCCTTTTCCTCTATCTGACCACCATCTGCTGACTTTTGACATTGGCAAGACCCAATTGACACCACCGTCTGAACATCACTCTCACGGAAACCTCCAATGTCTTGACCTAGAGCATTTCTCTACTAATCTCCAAACTCTCCTTTTACCTATCTCAAACCTCACCTGTCCTAGTTCTGCAACCTCCCTCTACAATTCCACCCTCTTCTCTCAACTAGACATCATGGCACTTTGTACATTTAAACGCTGCAGGCCCCCCCAACAACAACCCTGGCACACCAAGCTCACTCGATACCTCCAAAATGCTCCAGAACTGCTGAACGCTGTTGGAGAAAGTCTCACTGTGCATCTGACTTTCTCCACTATAAATTTATGCTGAGCTCATACAGCTTGGCTCTTTCCTCTGCAAAAGTTAATTACTTCAATACCCTCATAACCACACTCTCCCACGAACCCAGACGACTATTTCACACATTTAACTCTCTTCTTCGCCCTGCTGTTCCTCCTCCACCTACTAACTTGACCGCCTCAGACTTTGCAACTCACTTCACTGACAAGATCTCTACAATCAGAGAAGAGATCTCTCATCTTTCTTCTTCTGTTTCTTACACTACTTCCCCTAACTATACTCCCTCTGCTGTTCTATGTTCATTCGCACCCACTACATTGGAAGAGGTTTTTGCTCTGCTCCAGTCCTCTCGCCCCACCACCTGCTCCCTAGATCCAATTCCCTCGCATCTCATCCGTACTCTGTCTTCTTCTCTTTCTCCACCTCTCAATAAAATTCTCAATCTCTCTCTCTCCTCTGGTATATTTCCATTGCCCTTCAAACATGCAACTGTAACCCCAATTCTAAAGAAGCCCAATCTTGACCCTAACTCCCCATCCAACTATCGTCCTATCTCGCTACTGCCTTTTGCATCCAAGATCCTTGAAAAAATTGTGTATGCGAGATTGACAGACTTCCTTGAGTCCAACTCTCTGCTAGACCCGCTTCAGTCTGGTTTCCGCGCTAAGCACTCTGTGGAAATGGCACTGACCAAAGTATCCAATGATCTACTCACTGCAAAATCTCGTGGTCACTACTCTATCCTAATTCTCCTTGACCTGTCTGCAGCTTTTGACACTGTTGAACATCAACAGCTTCTTCTCATCCTCCGCAATATCGGTCTACAAGATATTGCTCTCTCCTGGTGCTCCTCCTACCTCTCCCAGCGCTCTTTCAGTGTTTCTTTCTCTGGCTCTGCTTCTTCTCCCCAACTCCTCTCTGTTGGTGTCCCCCAAGGTTCAGTCCTTGGTCCCTACTGTTCTCCATCTATACTGCCTCCCTTGGTAAACTCATTAGCTCCTTTGGCTTCCAATATAATTTCTATGCAGATGACACGCAAATCTACCTGTCCTCTCCTGATCTCTCCCCGTCCCTCTTGACTAGTGTCTCTGACTGCCTCTCTGCTGTTTCTAACTGGATGGCTGCCCACTTCCTTAAACTAAACTTGACCAAAACTGAAATTCTGGTCTTTTCTCCCTCAACTGTGGTTACTCCTGTGTCTGTCTCCCTCCAAGTCAACGGTGCTACCATCAGCTATACCACGCAGGCTCACTGCCAAGGTGTTCTCTTTGACTCCGACCTCTCCTTCAAGCCTCATGTTCAATCTATTGCCAAAATCCTGTAATTTCCATCTCAAAAACATTGCGCGCATCTGCCCCTACTTAACGCCAGATGCAACTAAGGTGTTGGTCCATTCCACTGTCCTTTCTCGCCTTGACTACTGTAATCCGCTTCTCAGTGGTCTTACGTGCTCCCAACTTGCGCCGTTACAGTCCATAATCAATACGGCGGCGAGGCTCATCTTCCTGTCCGCCCGCACATCCCATGCCTCACCCTTCTGTCAGTCCCTACATTGGCTTCCTATAAATTATAGAGCTCAATTTAAAATGATGGTTCTTGCTTTCAAATCTCTACATAATGCTGCTCCCACCTATCTATCCTCCCTTATACACAAGTATGTCCCGTCTAGGCCCTTACGATCTGCTGAAGACTTACGTCTATCTTCTGTCTGTACTCCCACCTCTGATGCTCGCCTTCAAGATTTCTCGAGGGCTGCACCGTTCCTGTTAGATGCTCACCCAGTCTCCACTCCTTTAAAAAATTGTTAAAAACCCACTTCTTCATAAAAGCGTATCAATTAAACTGTTAATAGCTCCTGACTGATTCCTCTTCTGCAACTGTCACTAGTCTAATACTATCCTTACCTTTTTTGTGTCATTTTACCCCACTCCCTCTAGCATGTAAGCTCATTGAGCAGGGCCCTCAACCCCTCTGTTCCTGTGTGTCCAACTTGTCTGGTTACAACTACATGTCTGTTCGTCCACCCATTGTAAAGCACTGCGGAATTTGACGGCGCTCTATAAATATAATAATAATAAAACAGACTATGGACCCTGCCACAGAAAACCCAGAACCTTACCCAAAAAGCAATAATTTCACTATCGTTGAGATCTTCCCACCTACCCAGCAGAAGCAGCCTGTCTAAGTGCTCAGGATGTCAGCCACCTGGCTGTGATAGCACACTGGTAGATACCAGGGAGAGATGGGGAAGTTCCAGCCGTCTGCAGGGAACTCTATAGTGGATTAGAGTTCTGGCACGGTCTGGCAAACCTATACCAGGGTGGTGATTGGACACTGTATGTGGAATCAGGGTGCTCTCTAGACAGAGGGTAACTAAGGGGTGAGCTATTCAGGGATGTGTTGGTTGTGGGGTTCAATGTTGTGGAGGATTTTTTAGGGCTCTGATTTTCAAGCACCCTGGCTGGCTGGATGGGGCTCAGCGCGTGGGAGATTCATATCAGCCCCAGACTTAGTGGCATCAGGGAGCGGACTACCTTTTTTAAAATTTTGATCCCCTCCTGGAGGACATATGCACATTTGAAAGTATATAAATGCTGTGTTTATGTGCCAGGAAAAGTGTATGGGATGCCCAGTTTATCTTACCTCGGCCTACATCTCTGATGGCCCAATCCACTGTCTTACCTTTCTGCAGCCAAAAGATCTCCTGTTCTAACTGCCGTACTGCCCTGATTAATTTATTCTACATTATGAATCCTGGCAAGTACATCGTTTTATTAATAAAATAGAACATTGCAAAGGAGTTCTCTAGAGGTATGAGAGCGATGCACTGATTTAGATAAATATCACAGGGGAAAGGAGGTCATTGAAAAAACTACGATAGGTTTGTGAAATTTAAGAATGTCAGTGACATGTATGGTACATGGAATGGTGATAGGTAAGCAGGTTAGAGTTACAAGTAACAGAAAGTTATTATGATGGAATTAAGTCACTCACCTCTCTTAATTCTTTGGCCACTTCCTTGAGATCCCGCAAAATCCCTTCTAGCTGACTGATGACGGCCCGAACACGGCTTCGGATTCTCTCCCTCTCCCCAACTTTGGAACTTCGTCCCCCCTGTTCCGTGGTCCTTCCCACCCCCCGAGAGCACATGATTCAGAGAGAGGCCTCCAGCCTCCTCTGCAGCTTCTCTCCTCTGGGGGGAGCTCTGCATCTTAACGCTTGCAACCCCTCTGCCCCTGCACCCCCTCCCTGCTCACTGTCACACACCCTCTCACAAAACTCTTTAGCCCTCTTTGACGAGGGCTTTCAAATCTTATCCTGTCTTGCAGACAAACTTGCTTTGGTTGAGTCTGGGTTTTGGAGGGGGTTTCAGATGCAGATTCAAAAGTGTGATTCAGTACGTAGGGATGCCAGATGCTTACATGAATCGAGAAATTAGATGATGCTGGTGTCGTATTAAAGGCTCATAACACCTGTAGGTAAAAGCAGAGTTTTGGTCAGTTTATTATTGAAACTTTGAATGTGTGCTATTAGAATACATTACATTAAAGAATGACAAGAGCTATAGGGCAGTGGTAAGCAACTTTCAGCACTCCAGATGTTGTGGATTATATCTCCTATAATGCTCTTACAGTCATAATATATGCAAAGTAACAAGGGAGATGTAGTCCACAATATTTAGATTGCTGAACGTTGCTTACCTCTTCTTTAGGGTAATGATACTTGAAGCAATAGAAGGGATGCAGGCACATACAGCATTATTAAGAGTGGTTATATGAATAGAGATAGGTTGGATAGGTTTGAACAGATAACGAGAAAGTAACATTTCCCCAGTTTGACGGTACTATTTTGGGTTTCGTCCATTTGGCGTTTCAATTTTGGACAAATTTCATCCATGTAATCTTTTTGGGAAAGATGATTGGGACCAACCAAAATGGCACAGAAATTGGCCAATCAGTGAATTGCAAAATATAAATGTGCTTTTTTTTTGCCTTTTGGTTCATAGATCAAGTGAGAAGAGGTAATTAATAGAAGGAAAAGAGGAGGAACAGTAAACGTAATCTATATATTTATATGTTTAGATAATAAATATATAATAATATATTTTTTACTTTGCCTGTTTTTTTTCCTGCCATTGCTCACTTCTCACTTGATGTGTGAATAAAATAAACATTTAGTTGCTTTTCCCTAGGCATCAATAATCTTTTTTTTCCATTATTCAACTTTTTTTTGGAGCCACAGACAGGCCTACAAATCACAAAACAAACAAAACAGTTTTGTCCATTGTCCATGTTGTTTGTTTTTGTGATTCGTCCACGTAGCATTTCAGGATTTCGGACAATTGCTGATTACCAAAATTCGAGCTTGTATAGGTATATCATGAGGTCTTGATGTTATTATTAGCCTACTTAATGGTGCTCTTTTTATTGATCTAGGAATGATGAAAGTTGACCTTGCCACCTGTGACTCAGAGATATGCCATCTGGAATTATATCACTGGCTACTCATGAGTACAAAGTACTTTGGCTTTCTTAATCACATTGGCATTGTTTAATCCCAGAAGATATTTTTTCTAATTTTAAATTATACACAAAGTTAAGTATACTAGGTCCAGGCTTATGAAACCATTATCAGATGAATATCAGGCTTTACAACAATAGTTATGTATATTTTATAGCATAACATATATGTAGAGAGATTATGTGCTATTGCATGCTCATTATGTGGTATTGCATGCTTGATGTTTTACAGATGCGTGTCCATGACATGGCTCCAAGCAGATATACCCAAACAAGTCCACTGATTGTGGGCTACCACCACAAACACTGCAAACTGCTTACCCCTCACAAGCAGATTTGCAAGCAAAGCTACAGGCACTCTCGACATACACTCACCTACAACACCCTCTTCCAACCCTGTCCATCTTATGTCCTCTTACATTCCACTTTTGGGGAAAACCAGAGACTAGTTACCAGCGAATGCTGGTAACCTGTCTCTGGTGTCCCCAAAACAAGTGTGTATTTAAATTTGCTTGCACTGCACTAAACAAACACAGGGTATTTTTCCAGTGAGAACTCTTTAGCAGGCACTGACATGCCCATTTTCAGGGGGTTTGGGTGTCATTGGTGATGACACGGCCTTCTCTGGCCCGCTCTCCTTATATTGGGCTACTTTGTGTTAAATGCCCCTGACACATTTTTGGCCCATTCCGCCCCTGTTGGGAGGTGCATTCAATACTGTCTGAGTAGGTGATTTTTAAATATGTGGTTGCTGGGTGCTGTAGAACTGATATGTGTCTGGTCACTGTGGTATAGATGAAATGTTGGTGTGGTGGGGATGGTGGTTGCTGTTGTTGGTAGCTGTGTGGTTTAAGGGTGCTGCAGGAATCATTGGAATCATTGGAATCATGGGTTGTCATGCTCAATACCATGTGGTTGGTAGGTAATTGAGAATCTTTGGGGATAATGTAGGTTTTATGTTGCTTATATTTGCTCTGGAACTGATACTTTCTGAGATCTGAGAGAACCCAGATATTACGCAGAAGAAGTTAGCACTGGTTTTGTAACTAAAATAAAGCCTATGCTATGATTTTGTTTTCCACATTAAAGGGAACTTATAGTTCCAAAAAACAGCAATTTTTAGGTTCCCTTATGGCGATGTAAAACCTGATGCATTCATTCTCCCCTTTGCTGGATAAAATTAAGTTAAATCTGCGGTAAGCCAAGTTGACATAACCCACAATCTCTTCCAACCCATTGCTTCTTATATAAAAGATATGGATTGGGACTATGCAAGTGCAGCTAAACACCACGCTCCTCCAATAAAATGCAGCTATTGATTCCAGTACGGAGTTCTACTCAATTTTGGAGGACGAAGCGACCGCTAGTAGCTGTCTGGAATGGTCATATATGGTCTCCTATGTTTCCTTTTCTACCCTCAACTGATAATTTAATATTGGATATCAGGAAAAAAAGTTACTCAAGGCCACAAATCCAGAACAATAATAACAATCCAGCCACTGCGGTGAAATCTTTGTGATGGTGGGTGTAGATATGATGACATCTTTGTGATGGTTGGTGTAAATATAGTAAATGTGGTAGAATGAAAGGAGAAATACAGTGAGAAAGGTCTAGTGTTCCACCATACGTGCATTAAGAATTAGCATTTGGTTTTCTTTACTGCAACTGACCAGAGTTAGATAGGAGAGGCTATATGGACCCATTTAATGGGTAACAAGGACTGATTAATACAATACAATAACAATAAGACACAATTAGTTAAGAGGTATTGCGGGTGTATGGGAGGTTGCATAAATTTACCCTTTTAGCGATATATTATAAGACTGGGTATGTAAAGGATGGCTACACAGCATAGGGCAATATCCAAAAATGGCTATTGTGAAGAAGAGAAAGTACTGTCATTTGTCATTAGGTTGCTTTTATTTTTACCCTATTACATTTTAGACTTTCTGTTTCTCCGTTTCCCTGCATTACGTTTCCATTTGACAATACTGTACAAATCTTTCTCTCTTTTTTCTCTCTCTCTCTCTTTAGCTCCACCCCTTGTCCTCCTTCTCATTTTTGTCTCCATCCCTTCATAATTTTCAGGGGTGTCAGAGGATGACAGTTGCCTCAACTTACCTCATAATCACTTTGGGTAATCCTTCTCTCCTCCTCTGGTATTCTGTCATTCCTTGTAAGTAAAATAGCATCTAAATATCCCCCAGGAATCCGAGGTATCAACCAACATTCTATTTCCAAACGTTCTTCACCAGGCCACCAAAAACCAAATCTCTCGTCTTTTTTTTCTTCTCCAAGATCAGGCACCACACAGGAAAGGATGGGACGAAGACTGACTTGAATTACCAACCTGTTTGGGACATAAAAATCAGCATTATCATCTAAAAGCGGTCTATTGTGTCATCCTTGTCATCTTTCTCTTTTACGTATTAATCTCCATAAACTATTCCCATTCTCCCCTTCATATACATTGTATCTTCTTTTCTTTTGTCCCGATTTCCCTTATTCCTATTTATCTATTTTATGGTTCATTTGCTACGTATCTCCACATCTTCTAACCTTCTTCTCTCCACTTCAGCATTTCTTTTTTTAATATTTTGTGGGTTTGCCCTTCCTTTTTCCCCTGATTGCCCTCTGTATCCTTTCCATGATCCGTTATCATCTTCAGTGCTATTCTGTGTTCCCTCCCCTATTCCCATTTTGTGTTCATGCATTTCTCTCGGTCTCCCTTTCTCTCTCTATCCCATTCTCACTGTAAATCTTCTTCTTCCATATTCTTCATTCATCTGCTACCACCAGCTTAATGCCTGTCGATTTTCTATTCCTGTAAGCCATGCCACTGCGATACTTCAACCCCTCGCCTTTTCATCCTCCATATTTAGTTTCTATTTTTTTTCTTTCCTACTTCCCTCGTAATTCCCTCATTTCCATTGCTCTCACCATGCCGTGTGGGAATGAAGAATCTGTTCTATTCTGTATCTGCTCCTCTCCCCTCCCAGGTAGACGGAAGCAGATACACTGATCAGGCCTCATCTCCCAAGATCTGGTCCTGATGCTGTAGCAAAGCTGATTCAGTGCTGGTTTCTTTAGCTCTCTGCGGCATTCCTCTTACTGTTTCTTCTGCTGAATTCAAGGAGGGTGTCCCCCGTCTTTCTTCCCCTCGTCTCTACTGGGGGATGCACGGGTTTTGCTAGCTGTGGGTTCCCCCTTGTTAAACACAGCGAGCAGAGCATGTGCCCCAGCTCAGCCTTAGAGAGGGAGAGAGAGAGGCAGAGAGAGAGAGAGAGGGAGGGGGCAAGTGATGGAGAGAGGGAGGGAGAGACAGTGAACACTGCTTAATAGAGGCTTGCAGATCATGGCTATACTAAACCTTCCACACTGGTCAGAGGATTGGTCGGTAGTTACAGACTTTGTATTTTTTATGACTATTTCCATGCTAAACAAACAGAAAACATTATTTGCTTAGGCACTGTGGGGTGACACTTAATGAAACTCTCCGCTAACATAGAGCCATAAAAAAGCATTGATACATTAGTCATTCCTTTAATAGCGGTGGAAAGAACATTGTTCCTTTATCAGTCCTTTATTTACAGATCTGCAGAACATTTCTTCTATAACCAGCGATCGTGGCAGAGCATTGCAGATCACTGCCTGTGTATCTCTACATCGCATCTCTGTCCTACACTGCAATAAGCATCTCCCACTTTACGGATCTAAATATGAAGGTTTGGAATATTCTAGCCACAATGTGTCTAGGTGAACAGTAAATATAACAAATCCACTGTTTTATTGGTGTATTGCATCACAGGATTGTTTAATATGATGCTCACAGATTCACACAGTGCTCTCACGCCAGTTACAGGGTTGATGTGTGCGATGGAGAACTCACTTGATGGGATAATGTATGCGTGTCTGTGAAGGGGGGAGTAGTGAAGTAACCCTTGCTCTCCCAGTCACGGATTTGCATTGTGTCATTTGTCTACCAATCTGTGTCCTGTGCGTGACCACTTTCATGAGGAATCTTTCCAATACAGTCCATAGAAATTTACTTTCTAGTCTTCTTCCACATGCAAGACCCAATAACTGCTTTAATTATTAGCTATTGATAACTATTGGTAGTTATGACTGGTCTCCAGTTCTCTAATAAGTACTCATGTACATATATTGACAAAAACGGACATTACAGGAAGTTAACCCATCATGCAAGATGCAAGTAAGGTCCACTGACACGAATAGCACATCCATTAAAACTTGCCTTTAGACTCCAGATGTCTTTTTATTCACGCTTTCCATTTATGAATCAATGTTACCGAGTATCCAGGACCAGATTGGACATGAAGGCAAGTTACAGACCATTACATATGTAAACGTACTCCTACGTAATTGACTCCACAAATAACCACAAGCTGGGGTATGTATACATTTTATTATTAGATTTCAAATTTTGTTTAAAAAAAAAAAAAAAAAGTATTTTTCTCCACGAGACCTGCCATCGCTGAAGTATGAGGTATAGTGCAGACCCCCACTGTGTCCTCAGTTTTCAAGAAAACCATGTCATGGCTAGATAGAAGAACCCAACACTCACAGACCCTAATCTGCTGAAGGAATATAATAACGTATTACCGGCGTAATAAAAACAGCATAGATAAGATAACAAGTGAAGGTCAGGAACACAGAAAGCAGAGAGACAATAAAACAAGCCAAAGTCAGTATCAATAAATCCAAAATACTATAAAGTGCACTCTTGGGTAATCAAGAACCACAACAGGGCAACTTGCTACTGAAAGCTCTGGCTTATATAGCCAGGGGACTAACACTATTGGTCGGCATCATTTTGGAGGGCCTAAAGACCCAAATTCGGCCAAACGCCAAACTCCGGCACTTCTGCTTGTTCATACCAATCGATTCGGCACTTTTAGAGTCGTGCCGTTATGAAATCTGACCCGCCGCTGGATCAGGGAGCTCTGGAATGGGTAAGCATGACAAAGATTTTGCTGATTTGAACCTGCTTTTGTTTGTAAGGTTATTTTTGTTCACATATTTGTGATTACATAAGGCAAATGCACTCTCTTATATGATGCTCATATTGTTCCACACTAATAAAGTCGAATCCAATATCTAGTCCATTTATCGAGGATATCTTACGAGATGTATACTGAATTCGACACCTACAAGGTGTTTTTTACTTTTATAATAAACTTGGTGGGAAACTATCTTTCCCCTGCCCCATGATCAACGGACAGGAACTCTAATTTTAGTAAAAGAACTGAGGGGGTCGTAGTGTTTCCTCCAGTCCGCATATAAACGAAATATAGAAGGTGTCCACACCCCACAATTTTTGATGAAAAGGTTCCCTCCAGAAGGTTATGGGCCCCTATGCTTCTAAACTTCCTCCTCTCCCCACTCCCCGCATAAAAAGCTCTACCTACCCCTCCAATAACAGTGGGGAAATTAATCTAAACATATGTGAATAAAAAATAAAATTATTTTGTCATCATACTCAAAAAAGACCATTAAAAAACTATAAAGTCCTGATGCAAACATTAAAATACTGTGCAATGGAGCCTCCATTTCGAAGGAATACTCCATTAATGTAAATATACGACCAGAGAAAACATGCATGCATTGTTTCTTGCATGTTTTCTTTAAAGGGGATATAAAAAAAAAAAAAGCTTTCAAAAACTTCAGACCTGCTGTCTGCAGCCTTTCCAAGCCCTACCATCTTGCCAAAGAACAGACTTTCCATTTGTGCAGGGGAAATGACCAGTTGGCAAGCCGAAGTGTTTTAAGTCTCTGGAGTTTTCCTTAAAGGCATGGATGAGAGCTTAGCCCTGGTACAAGCATATTTAAATAAATATATTTATTTGTGTACTGTGCACTCTCTCATTGTCATCGATGAAGAACAAGGGTCTCAAAATTATAGAACATGAGCACTCACTCTCAGGTGCCATAAATTGAACATTACCACGGGGCAATGGAAGAAGATAGCCTTGTCTGATGAATCACATTTTCTTTTAGATCAGGTGGATTGCAGGTTGCTTGTGCGTGGTTTACCTGGGGAACAAATGGCAACAGGATGCACTATGGGAAGAAGGTAGGCTTGCAGAGGCAGTATTATGCTCTGGGAAATGTTCTGCTACCAAACCATGGGAACCACCTACCTAGAGATTGTTGCTGACTACTTACACCCCATTCATGGCAATAGTGTTCCCTAATGTCAGTGGCCTGTTTCAGCAGGATAATGCATCATGCCACATTGCAAAAAAATGTTCAGGAATGGCTTGAGGAACATGACAAATAGTTCAAAGTGTTGCCTTGGCCTCAAAATTCCCCAGTTGTCAATACGATTGACCATCTGTGGGATGTGCTGGAACAACAAATCAGAGCGATGTAAGCCCACCACTTAAATGATCTGTTTCTATGTCTTGGTGCCAGATACCACAGGACACATTCAGAGGTCTTGTGGAGTCCATGCCTCAATGCATCACAGCTGTTTTGGCAGCACGAGAGGGACGTACACAATTTCATGCAGGTAGTTTTAATTTTGTGGCTTATCAGTGTATTGGCTTCCTGTATCCTATAGGAGTCAATTCAAAGTGCTAACCAATACCTATAAAGCACTGACCAATTCTAGCCCCTCTTATATCTCCTCACAGATCCATAGGTATGCCTCTTCTTGGTCTCTCCGCTCTGCCCGTTACCCTCTCCTGTCCGCTGCTTGCACCTGTACGGCGAACACGCGCTTGCAGGACTTCTCGGGGGCGTCTCCCTTTCTATAGAATAGCCGGCCTACCGCCATCAGATTCTCCCCTAGTCTTCAATCATTTAAGAAGTACCTTAAAACCCATTTCTTTAGGAAAGCATATGGCCTCCCAGACTAACCTCTACCTCACATACCTGTCTCTTGCTCTCTCCTAAAGGGCAGCACTCTACTCTCTCCTCTCGTATTTACCTGGATCTCATTGACGGTCTGAAATCTCTTACCTTTTAAAAGTGATTTAGCTTTGGGAAAAGCCAGAAGTCACAGGGCGCCAATTCTCTTAACAGATTCTCGACCATCTTTAAAGCATTTCTGCCCCACTTTTATTTGCGCTGCACTCATTTTATGCAGATTCATTGCTCTACTCTCTCAGTCATTTAGAATGTGATGGCCCCACAGTACATATGCTCATTCAATGGCGTCTAGCACCACCACTGACTATTACAGTGAAGTCATCATTGTTTATGCATGGGCATTCCAGTCCATTCTCCTTGGTTGCCAGGTTACATTGATGCCGTACAAACCATTCTCATTATATTAACAATGGCTGGACTTTTTCCATGGCCTTATTGTGTTAAGCCCACTACTACCTCACAGTACCCCAATATCGGTGAGTCCTACACATGCTCACTGCAATTCATACTGCTTAAACTGCTTCCACAAACTCTTCTCAATTTATGCTTTCCTGTAGTCACCTCCAAAAGGGCACCTATAGTGTATGGGTAGAGTAGGACCCACCAATATTGGGATACTGTGACAATTGTGAGCTTAACATAGCATGGCCCTATGGTGTAACTGAATCCTCACATTTGTTATCCACATATCAGTGTTAATTTTGGCGGCAAATTTCTATTTAGTTTTAGTCATAGTCTTTTGACAAAAAAGTCATTTTAGTTTTTGTTGTATTCTAGTCATCTGAATTGTTTTAGTTTTAGTCTACTTTTAGTAATCTACTGGCGATTTCAGTCGACACTAATAAAATCTTATGGGTTTAGTTGAAGCCTCTGTCTTGTTTGCCCCCTTCCCTAGCCCCTCTGTGTCGCTATGTATTCTTCCAGCGCCTTTTGTCTTCCAGCACTGCCAGAGTTTCTTTGGCTAGTGTCTGGCTATGCTGTAAGGCTGTGATCGGTCTCTCCAGCACTTGTATGCAGTTCTCGTGGTCCGCAGAATTCAGTTCAGTGAGTTGCAAGAGTGCCGAGACTCCATTAATTTCTTTCCGTAACTGCCCGATGTCGGTTGCTATGTTCCGGCGTAGCTCGTTTAAGAGGCTCTGCAACGTGTCCTCCGTAACAGGAGGCTTTGCAGCTGGCGAGGGCTTTGGGGGTTCAGGTCTGGTAGGTACCTTAGCGTAGTAGTCCTCCCTGTCAGCCAAGATCTTGTAGCTGGAGGAGAGTCCATCAGACATTGGCGCCATTTCGGGCCGTCCTGTTGCTTGAGGCCTTCTCAGGAGCTCACCAATGTTGGCTTTATATGTCTTGTTGCGTCCTCCCATGTCTTCAGTGGGGTATATAGCTAGCAACTGTATGTGCTGGTAGGTAGAATTGTTTTACTTTTAGTAGTTTAGTTGTGTTTTGATAGTCAGGAGTATCACCTAGAGTCAGAGTCTTATCTCATTGTCCAATCAGCATTGTGGTGAGGCATATATTAATGCCTGCATATTCGCTAAGCTGGAAATACAGACTTTTCAAAACCTATTAGTGTTTTTCACAGAGCTTACTTTTCCATCCAGTCCTGATCAGCTTCCGTGTTTAAAATCCTGGCATTTATTTTTTTTAACGATACCATTATGATATACTGAAGGAGGGAATAGAGCCACATTACTGGAGCAGCAATCCCAATTACTGCTCCCTCGCACGCAATAAGAGAGCAGCCCCACTGGACCCCAGGAAAAGATCCACTCAGCTCTCCCAAAGGTAGAGAGGCTGCGTGGATTAAAATTAAAAATACCAATTTGTGTGTATGTCAGTGTGTGTGTGTGTGTGTGTCTCTGTCTGTCAGTGTTTGTCTGTCTCAGTGTGTCTCTCTGTCAGTGTGTGTGTGTCTGTCAGTGTATTTATGTGTCTGTCAGTTTTTTCAGAGTGTTTGTGTGTGTCAGAGAGTGTGTCTTTCTGTGTTTGTTTAGGTACCTGCAGCCCTCCGATCATGAGAGAGGTGTTTTTACTCACCTTCTTTCCCACGCCATGCTGGTTTCGCCACGGCTTGTCTTGCCTTCATGGCTGAGATAATCAATCTTTAAGATCTCAGCTAAACCAATGCTTTCCTATAGGAGAGCATTGGGAGGATATTGCGGATATTTTCTATGGGTAACATTCGGTACTTCCATGCAGAGCGTGGAGACGCTTGACAAAGGTGCTGCACACTGTGCAGCACTGACACAGGACTCTCTAGTGGCCGCCTGAGTGACTGTCACTAGAGGTGTTACTAGGCAGCAATGTAAACACTGCCTTTTCTCTAAAAATGCAGAGTTTACATTGAAAAGCCTACAGGGACAGGTTATAGACACCAAAACAACTACATTAATCTGTACTGGTTCTGGTGACTATAGTGTCCCTTTAAGAATTTTATATTTCTCATTAATTTAACTTCACTAGTTAAAAAAAAAAAAAAAAAAACGGCTTCTTACTTTCTTAGCTGGCTCCTAGATTCCAAACAAATTTGTCAAGTCCTGGTATAAATTGTCAATAAGTTTGTTAGCTCTCATGTGGAGGCACAGAGAGGTTTGGGAGCATAAACAAACTGTCAAAAGACCTGCGTAACAAGGTAATGGAACTCTATAAAAATGGAAAAGGATATAAAAAGATATCCAAAGCCTTGAAAATGTCAGTCAGTACTGTTCAATCACTTATTAAGAAAATTCGGGGATCTCTTGATACCAAGCCAAGGTCAGCTGGACCAAGAAAGATTTCAGCCACAAGTGCCAGAAGAATTGTTCAGGATACAGAGAAAAATCCACAGGTAACCTCAGGAGAAATACAGGCTGGTCTGGAAAAAGACGGTGTGGTGGTTTCAGGGGGCACAATATGATGATACAAACAAAAATAAGCTGCATGGTCAGGTTGCCAGAAAGAAGCCTTCACTGTAATGTAAATATTAATGAAGAAGAACAGCTGTTAGAGCAAATTGGGAAAGCTGCAAATCGGGGTAAAACGTTAATTATTGGAGATTTTAATTACCCAGACATAAATTTGGATAGAGGGACTAGTACTCAGCAAGGGGAATCAGGTTTTTGAATGTGTTAAATGACACCTTTATGTCCCAACTGGTACAAGCACCAACTAGAAAGGATGCTTGTCTGGATCTCGTTATAACAAACAATGTTGATCTTTTAACCAACATTCAAGTAGAGGAGCATTTGGGAAATAGTGATCACAATATGGTAATTTTTAAAATAAACTCAAAAAAGCAAAAGCACGTGGGGTATACTAAAATGTATAATTTTAAAAAAGCCAATTTCAATAAGATTAGGGCAGCTCTACAACATATCGACTGGCATAAACTCCTTAGTGATAAAAACACAGAGGATAAATGGAAACTATTCAAACAAATATTAGAAAGATACATTTCTCAGTATGTACCATTGGGTAATAAATATAAAAGAAACAAATTAAAACCAATGTGGCTTAGTAGAGAAGTAAAACAAGAGATTAAAAATAAAAAAGGGCATTTAAAGCTTTTTTAAATCATAAAAACCAGAGGCATCCTATATAAGATATAAGGAAGCCAATAATGCTTTCAAAAAGGCAATTAAAGTGGCTAAACTAGAAAATGAGAAATTAATAGCCAAATAATGCAAAACCAACCCCAAATTTTTTTTTCAAATACATCAATTCTAAAAAAACAAAAAATAAAAGTGTAGGTACACTGGAAATAGAGATGGGTTTGTTAGCTAATGAAGACCAGGAAAAAGCTGAATTTTTTTTTTTATAATTCTTTATTTTGAAAAGTATTGGCGTTTGGGGTAGGGGTACAGAAGAGAAATCGGGGAGTAAAAATGAGCGTTACAGAGTTTCCAAACAATGGTCAACAGTACGTAGTAGAAGAGCATAACATTTGCAAGTATTGGTTGGTTATCACATATTGTTCGAGTAAGTGGTCTACATAATGCGTTTGTTTCTGTCTATTTTTGACTTTCCTCTTGGGTTTGGGGAGGGGTACAGAAGAAAAGGGGATGCGGGTAGGGTTACTAGCTCTTGTTGTGGTGTGTTACCCCTGGTGTCTTGAGCGCTGTGCGTCCCCTTCCTGCGTCCTCTGGCTCTCCCTTTTGGGGGTGTTGCAATGGGGTGTTCAGGCTAGGGGGGTAATCTTGCGTGTGTTTATTGAGTGTAAGCCCGGTTGGGCTAGTCTGGTCTGTTCCCTTTCGGGGTTGCCTACTTGTCGTGTCTTTATATCTATCTAGTATCCCCGTTTTAGGGTGGTTGAGAAAAAAGCTGAAATTTTAAATAACTATTTTTCTTCAGTATATATTAATGAGGATCCTATGGCAAGAGATATGCAAATGATTGCTGCAAAAAACTTGCAGATAACTTATGATTGGATATTAAAGAAAATTAATGTAAATAAAGCTCCGGGGCCTGACGGTATTCACCCACGAGTACTTAAGGAGCTAAGTGGGGAAATAAGTGAACCTCTGTATTTAATTTTTCAAGATTCTTTTGTTTCAGGTATTGTACCGGAGGATTGGAGGAAGGCAGATGTTGTTCCTATATTTAAAAAGGGTTCAAAATCCTTGCCTGGAAATTATAGACCTGTGAGTTTAACTTATGTGACTGGGAAAATATTTGAAGGGCTATTAAGAGATAATATTCAGGAATTCATTGGGAAGAATTTTGTTATTAGCAATAATTGTTTTATGAAACATAGGTCTTGTCAAACTAACCTAATTGCATTCTACGAAGTAAGTAGAAGTATAGATCAGGATGTTGCAGTGGATGTGATCTACTTGGATTTTGCCAAGGCATTTGATACGGTTCCTCACAATAGGTTAGTCTTCAAACTAAAAGAAATTGGTCTAGATGAATATTCTTGTTCTTGGGTAGAACATTGGCTTAAGGATAGAGTACAACGAGTTGTCATTAATGGTAAATTTCCAGGCTGGACAAAAGTGGTAAGTGGTGTCCCTCAGGGTTCTGTTTTGGGACCGCTTCTATTTAACATATTTATAAATGATCTTGAAATAGGCATTGAAAGCCATGTATCAGTGTTTGCAGATGACACAAAACTTTGTAAAGTAATAAAATGTGAGCAGGATATTGCCTTTGCTGCAGAGAGATTTGGATAGATTGGGGGACTGGGCACTAAAATGGCAGATGAAATTTAACGTAGAGAAATGCAAAGTTATGCACTTCGGGGTTAAGAATGCACAAGCAATTTACACCCTAAATGGTAGTGAACTAGGGATAACCACACACGAGAAGGATTTGGGAATTGTTATAGACAACAAATTAGGCAGCAATATGCAATGTCAATCTGCCGTTGCTAAGGCCAGTAAGGTTTTGTCATGTATAAATAGGGGCATAAATTCTCGAGATGAAAATATAATTTTGCCTCTTTATAAATCGCTGGTAAGACCACACCTTGAATATGCTGTGCAATTTTGGGCACCTGTTCTAAAGAAAGATATCATGGCACTAGAAAAAGTGCAAAGACGAGCTACAAAATTGATCAAAGGAATGGAGCATTTTAGTTATGAAGAAAGATTAAAAAATTTTAATCTGTTTAGTTTGAAAAAACGGTGCCTAAGAGGGGATATGATAACATTATACAAATATATTCGGGGCCAGTACAAACCTTTATCTGGAAATCTATTCATAAATAGGGCTATACATAAGGTCACACATTTAAGCTGGATCAAAGGAGATTTCATCTAAGGCAAAGAAAAGTTTTTTTTACAGTAAGAGCAGTAAGGATATGGAATTCTCTGCCTGAAGAGGTGGTTTTGTCAGAGTCTCTACAGATGTTTAAACTGCAATTGGATAAATACTTGCAAAAACATATCATACATGGATATAATTTCTAATTAGTGAGGTTAATAGCTGCTTGATCCAAGCAGACATCTGACTGCTATTTTGGGGTAAAGAAGGAACTTTTTCCTAGTTTGTTGCAAAATTGGAAGCGCTTCAGACTAGGTTTGTTGCCTTCTTTTGGATCAACAGCAAAAAACATATGTGAGGAAGGCTGTACTTGATGGACTCAAGTCTCTTTTCAGCTCTGTAACTATGTAACTATGTAACTGCGCCAATGCCACAAAAAAGCCCGGATACAATATACCCGACAACACCTTGACACACCTCACAGCTTCTGGCACACTGTAATTTGGAGTGACGAGACGAAAATCGAGCTTTATGGTCACAACCATAAGCGCTATGTTTGGAGATGGTTCAACAATGCCTATAATGAAAAGAATAC